CATCCTTGGGAGTGGCGCTTCAAGGTAGCTTGAACAGATTTTGTGTTAAAAAGGGCAGGGTTCAGATTTGCAGAGATATCGTTCATGAAAGGTAGGTACCTCTCCAGACATCTGTTTCTAGATAAAACCACTTGAGAACACTGAGCTGCGAGACTTTCATTCTGTGGAGGACATATGGGCCTCTTGCTAGTGATGAGAAGAATTGTGGAAAGCTGAACCAGGTAAGAGGGAACTGCTATTTGAAGCAAGACAATTCCCTTTGTTTATTCACTCTATTTTAACTAATTTTGCCTCCAGTTCGTAGGTTTATATTCTGCGTGGGATGAACCTTGATGTTTAGTTGCTCTGCAGTGATCCCGTTGTACCCTTTCATATCAATGGCTTCTGAGTGACAGTAGAACACATTGCACATAGTGGGGGTGACAGAATGGTGCTAAGGTCATCTATAGCAGACTTTCTTCCAACAACTTGTAGTCCAGCTTCAAGCTGATTCGAGTCTATAGTTTATTGTTTTGGGTCTTATAAAGAGAATAATGACTCAGAGAGCCATTGCTGTGCGTGCAGTTTACCATCTGCTTAGCAGGACTATATTGTGGCAGTACATTAACCTTCTCGGACTGTAGTGAAAAGCAAATTATGTCATTGTTGTTCTTTACTGAAGGCCCAAAGTCAAAGATCTCTAGTGAAATCCAGTGGGGTGGTTGTTCTTTCCTCCCATAAACAAGGAATTGTTTTTAGTGAGAACAGATCACACAGATTTCCTTGTGTGTCTTCACCATGGCTCTCATAGTGCTCGATTATCCCCCAGCAAAGGTCTTGTTCCTGGGGTGGGGGGCTAAGGTTAATGGCTTGCAGGTGGTGGGTGTCATTTAGATAGGACCTGCTGCTAATATCATAGATAATACATTTGCTCTCTAAACAACATTGCCTGGCTTTCTATTTATTTATTTATTTTTACTTTGCTTAATGGTAGGTGTTTTAATATTTACAGAGGTGAAACCTACTGGGTATTTCTGTATTTGCAGATAACTCGGCCCCCTGTTTTTTCTCCTAGATTCCAGTGGATGTCTAGTAGTAGTAGTAGTTCCCTCATTAGCTCTCTCTTCGACAAGAAACCAGGGCATTGGCACTGCTGTGGAAACAGTTTGGTCTGGAGACCATCCCAGCTATGAACTGCTCAGGATGCCTTGACCAATGGGCCGGGGTTGAACCTTTCCTAGATGCCTTTAGCAGGATAGAACCACTTAACTCACCCTAAGACTAGATGTTGAGATACTAGTGACTGCCAGGCATGCTGTGACCATAAGATTGCAACTTCTCTGCTGTGCCAAACTCCCATTATAACCCAGTTTGATCTGCAGGTCCCTATTCTGTTTTTCCTGTTCATTGCTACATTCATTCTGCATTTGGTGGTATGTCCTCCACCTAAAGTGAGCCATCCTGTACTGCTTAACTTCTAGGTGTCTCATCAGAAGCTTCATGCTGTTGTTCACAGCTTGGATGGAGGGTGACTGTGCTGTAAGCACACTGAAAACTAAAGAGAAATGGCCAAACTCTCCATCCGGCAGTTTGGAATTGTTCATTAACAACCTCTACGTACACAAGCAGCCGCCACATATTCATGGACTATGTGTCCAGGAATAGAGAGGTGGGGCAGAAAGTCCAGGATAGGCTCCACTGCCAAAATAATCAAGAGAAGTGAAAAGTTTCCAAGGTGTTCATTCCCTAAATTGTTTTCTCCATTTTTTGTTCCTGGCTTCATTTGAGCAAGTGATCTCCAAGAAATTAGAGTGTCTCTATTTTGAGTTAATTCCTCTTGGTGTGGGGCAATAGGGAGGTATAGTTGCTCTCCAATTTAACTACACACTCTTCTGTGCAGGAAAACACAGGAGGTCATTTTTAGTACAGAATCTAAGGTGAAATGCCACGGAGGAGTTCATATAATGTATGAAATGGAAATGGTTTTGTTTAGAGGAAAAAACACAACTCTTGAACCCTTGCTTATTTGTAAGATGCGGATCCAAGAATTACTAAAAATGACTGTCTAGAGAATCCAGATGGAGACATGGGGATTCTTGAACCATAGTTCTGGTTCTATTACAGACTTCAGCACTTTACACCTCTTGATACTTTTAGATAGGAAGAGGTGAAGAGGCTTAGGTGGAGTTTAATCAAACTGATGCTGAACTGATGCAATACTGTAGGAAGGAGAAGTTCTGTGTTTCATGCCTCTCATAAGAGCATCATGAGCATGAGTGTTCCCACACAAACATGACTTGTCTTTTTGTTGTATTGCTTAACTCGGGCTTTGGTTGTTCCTGCGTCCATGACCTTTGACAGAGTCAGGGGGAAGAATCTTCATCCCTTCTCTTTTCCTACCGGGCAAGTATAAAATGAAAATACTGACATTTGATGGTAGGCTGTTTGCTGAGGAAATGTACTGACCATAGTAAAAACACTTAAGTAATTTGGCACTTAATCCTTTCCATGTAACTGTGGCTTGATAAATAATATGCATCTTGTTTGACTCAAATGTCCAGAACTGAATAATGCAGCTTCAACCAGTCCCATAATGTAATGCTGTCCTTCCTAGTGCAACTTCATGGCTTAGGAAAAACCGAGACAATTTTCAGAGCAAAATGCTTTTTTTCCTTTGTGATGATATTCAGCCACTAGGTCTCTTTTCTTTTATCTCACTTGAATGATGTTAATAGCTCATAAAACTGTGTGGTGGCTGGTGCAAGGCAGTAATGACTTCTTCTTGTGGCCTGCATTCTGAACCCATTAGATCGGTAGATTTATTGCAGCCCAGAGGTATTTTAACCTGAAAATTTCTTTACTACTTTATTTTGAGCCGTATTTTGTTCAACATTTATTACTAATCTGAAATTTTGTCTGCCTGGGCAAAATCCACATTTGATAACTAATAAATGAGGCATCATAAGTGAAGAACATAGGCTGAAGTACTTGCTGTCTGGGTTTTTAATCTGCTTGCATTAGCTTTTGAATGAAGGAAGTACTAAAAGCTTTGTATGTAGGAAATCTTGAAAGGAAATCTTGAAGGAAAATGGAAAGACAAAGATTTTTTTTTTTATTTAGGGAGAGAAGTGGGAGAGTCTGGGCTGAAGATCTAAGCTCATTTGGAAGGTCTGCTTGGCAAGACAGATTTGATGGTAGCCTCTAACCTTTCGTGAGAGAGAATAGGCAGGACCACGTTATCCTGGAGCCTTCCATGCTCCCTAGTGAACAGCTAGAGCTTTTACTTTTCTAACCAGCATCTCGTAAATTTACTGTTTTGGTTGTAGCTGCTCTTTGGGACTCCAGCAGCACAGCTTGGCCATGAGAATTCCTGAGCGTGCTGCTGCTACGTCAGTGCAAACAAGAGACTCAGAAAGGTCACCTTGTTCACAGCATCAGCACTGAGTGCGTTTAACTGCAACTACGCCTGAAAAGAGAATCCCCCTAAAGAACCCTTGTTGCACAGTAATCTCTGCATTTTAAGGGGGTTTATTTCAGATGAGCCATATTAAAAGCATACACTGTTGATTCTGCAGTCATGATAATCTACCTGTTGGCCATAATATGCTCTAGGCTTCACTCTAAGGAACACATAATAATAAATAGTTCAGCTGTCCTTAGCAGGAAAGCTCCGTTTCCTCTGTATGCCCAGGTGCACCCTTGGATTAAGTTATGTGACTAGCAAAGAAGAATCCCACTCTAGTGATAGCAAGAAGGGGAAGGAAGACATTTTTTACCATTTCAAAAGGCAGCTGCATTAGACCGTTCTGCATTAGACCATTCCTCTGGAAGTGTCTCCTTTCTGCTGTCTTGCAGGTCCATTGAAGCTGGCAGCCGTGGAGGTATCACTACAGACAAGTCGGAGATTTTTCTAGCTCAGCTGCAGGCTTTCATTTGGGTGCTCTTTAATATATCTGTGCCCACAGAAATACTGCACTAGCACTGCTGTCATGCTAGAAAGTGTGGATGGAAAAGGCGTAAAGGTTCCTATTTGTTTCTGTTATGTAAGGATCTCATTTTGTCACCTTTATTTGCCAGTGACAAGTAATAGGAGCATGAGCATCAGAAACCTCTCTTCTCTTTTCATCTACTTCTAGCTAATTTTGCGAATGACGGGAGGTAATTAAATGGGGTATCTCAGACTTCCCGTTCTTTATCTGCTGTTCGTAAAGTGCTCTGTGATGTGCAGATGAGAGATGCTGCATCCATAAAGAATATGAGAAAGCAGCTGTGCCCTCATGCAAACGACTGCAAATGAGGAGCATCTGCCTGGCACTTGGCGAGCTGCCGGCTCGGCCACTGCCAAGCCTGAACATCCCTCTGAGATACAGACAACCCCTTCCTTCATTTAGGGCTTAAGGACGAGGTCAGTGTTTAGGCAGTTGGATATCACTTTTGACAAAGTGCGGAATCAAGGCAGAGTTGTTAATTATGTGTTCTCGTTAAAATGACAGATATCTGCTGTGTAGTGTCACATGGGTGGCTGGGGTCAAAGGCACTCATGACACAGTGCCATGGTCCTGCAAATCCCTCCTCACTGTTAGACTACCTGGATATAAGGGAGAGGGAAATTGGTGGCAAAACAGCATTTTAAAATACCACTGCCCTCTCTTCTAGGTGCTGGGGAAATCTCATTTTTATCACTCTGTGGTTAAGACCAGATAAAATCCCTCCTTCGGCCAGCTTAAGGAAACTCCAAGTGCACTGTGTGCCACACATGATGTTTCTCATTTTGTAGAAAACATAAAAGAGAGTATCTCTATGGGGTCTGGTGTGTAATAAGTTTTAACTCCTTAACAATCCATTTTCCAAGTCTTTGAAACCTGCTCTTGTACTCGATATCTTTCTACTTGCTGTGAAAAAAGAAGGGGAAAACGTAAAGTGTAAATGAACGTTCCTTTAATACTCTGAGTTTTCCTCCATGGCTGTATCAAACTACTATTTGGAGGTAGTTCAGCAATGGTTCTTGTTTTGTCTTACAGAATATCGACATCACCAACTTCAGCAGCAGCTGGAGTGATGGACTGGCCTTCTGTGCTCTCCTGCACACATATTTGCCTGCACATATTCCATACCAGGAGCTCAATGGCCAGGATAAAGTAAGTTGTTATAGCTGCTCCTAAACAACTCCCAGGGCAAGTTCTCTATTTTGATGGGTTTGGGTGTATGGTGGAGACATGGTGCTGCAAGATTTTGGTATTGATTCATGCAGAATAAATAGGTGGGAGCAACAACAAGAGACAAATGTGATTTAAGAATGTAAAAAGGAAGTAGGCTGGCTGAAAAGCAGAGGGAAACTGGTGGTGAAATTCTAGAGAGAAAAGGCAGAGACTGCTGATTAAAGACTTAGTGACAAGTTGCCTGAGTCCAATCAGTGCTGCATATAAACATGACGAGAGCATCTCTTTTGAAAGGCTACAACAGATACTTCCTGATGCTCCTAATAACCTCAGAAGATGACTTTTAGGAGTGGCTTTCTTCCCTTTGACAAGTATTGGGGCAGAAATATACTGGAGGATTTAGCTTGCTGTATGTATAGTCGAGGCTTTTCAGTGGGGTTTTTGATGTGTGGCAATCAATGTGTAATAAAAGTGTAATGTCAAGATGACTTGTAGATCTGCCCTGCATTTCGAGACTCATTTTGAGTTGGGCAGCACACATTAAAATACTGAGTCTAAGCAGATGAATCATTCATTGAACTGTTTGGGCAACAGAGTATCAAAAAGTCAAACCATGTCAGCACATTCCAGATGTTTTTAAGACCCTTAAAAAGAAGGGGAGCCTGGATTTTCTTCAGCTAGCTAGTGTCCATTACAATAACAGTTATGTTATCTATAGGAATGCCTTATGCATTAGTTAACGCTTTTTCAAGAAATCTTTCGCTCGCAATAAAGACAAAACCTCAGTGTTTCTTCTGCTCAGTTGTAAGAAGTTTCACAAGAACCCATTTGTGAGAACAGCACTGTAGCTTAGGCAAGCATAGATGAGCTATTGAAAGGCAACTTGTTTGTGAGTGTGCCTTACTAATACAAAAAGCTTGGGGAAAATGTCGTAAGACAATCATACAAAAGTTATTTGAGTTTAAAAGTTTCCAGCTTTTAAGGAAACCACTCTGAAAAAAACTTTTGACAAAAGCTACCTAAAACCATACATTCTGCATGGAGATTCATTGCTCTTAGTATTCCTTGCTATTTTTATCTGGGACTTGAGTCTAGCCTTCTTCTCTGTATAAAGATACTGAATCTGATGTTTTTCAGGGACTTACTGATTAATCCATACATGTGGTAGGATTCAGGAACAGTAATCATACTTTGGTGTTAATGCTTTTGAACCTTGTTTTATTTTTACAGAAGAGAAATCTGATGTTAGCATTTCAAGCTGCTGAAAGTGTAGGCATCAAACCAAGTCTGGTGAGTATCCTACTGCTAGCAAGGGAAGAATTGCTGCATATACCATTCCAAATCCTTTGTTGTCGTGCAGCTAGTCAGTAAGATCATATTGAAAATGTTCATGTAGCATTAGGGAAGGTGGCATCATAATCTCTGAATGTTCCAAGCATTAGGAGAGCATCCCAGCAGGAAATGTTTGTAGAATCATAGAATGATGTAGTGTCAAGGAACCTCTGGAGGTCGTCTGGTCCTGATATGAGAGTATGGATTATTTGCTCTTACACAAACCTATTTTAGAAGATAATTCCTGTACTTATGGGTAAAGTCCTATATATGACTGGCAGACCATTTTCCTTCCTTTTATTTTAGTTTTTTAAAAAGCAGAAGGATAGTTTTTCTTGTTTGAACTCTGTTTAAAAACTCTTGCATGTTAAATGCATGTTAAATGCATGTTAAACTAGTTTGTTCTTTGGCATGAGCCTCAAAATGCACCGGGCCAATAGATCTCACTCATGGATTTTGATACTGAGTATGGTTTTAATGAGCTCTGGGACTGGCGCCGTAGTGATGTTGGATACCCACACCTACTCAGAGGACCCAGTGATGTTCAGTGGTGGTGCTTGACTAAGTCTTGCCCATGTGTCCTGTGCAGGAACTCAGTGAGATGATGTACACGGACCGGCCAGACTGGCAGAGTGTGATGCAGTACGTCGCCCAGATTTACAAGTACTTTGAGACCTGAGATGCAGAACAAGAGGTGGGCAGAAGTGGGGAGAGACTGAAGAAAGCTACAGATGCACTCAATCACTTTAAAAAGCCCCTCGTTCCTCTTCCACAACCATCCTAAGCTCTTAGTCTGGCAGAAAGCTCTTCCATAATTGTGATTACACCTGGGACTACGACCAAATATCCACTGTCCACCTATATAAACCACATCCATCTGTAATTTTATTCCTACATGGAAACTGCAAAGCGTTTTTTACCAGGTCTAGGAGTTTTCTGAAGAGGATCCATTGTGCTAACAATGTTTGTCTGAAACCAGCATCTGCCAACAGGAGACCTTCCACAAAATGAAGTATTAAACCAGTGTGGACTAATGCTGGCAGTCAAGAGAAGCTGGGAGATTTAATACTAACACAAAAGCCCACAAAAATGTTGTTCTTGCCAAAACATGCTTAACTCATCCCAAATGCTGCTTTCTTGCCTTCATACCTTTTGTAAGACACTGTGACAGGTGCATGTAAGTGTGTAGAAACTTAAGTTGAGTTACTCTGATACATCTGACCCAAGAAGCCTCCTAATTTGCTTGTCATAGCTTATCCAACAGGATAGTAACGGGAGCATTTGTCACTTGGAAGCCACACTCTGTTCCATCTCTGATTAGTGACCGAACTTCAAAGATCCTGCCTGGTGCTGGGACTCCATTTCAGATCAAACAGAAATTATCTCTTTGAGAAAAATAGCTTTATTACTACAGCTTCCTGACTGTGGCTTCATTACTGCAGGAAGGCAGAGCCCTGTTTCCCAGCTGACTGTGCAGGCACAGTTGTCATGCAAACTTACTAGTTTTATTTTACAAGGTGCCAGTAATCAGGTGGTGACTCTTTAAGCAATACAGGAACATCTCAGTACTTCTTATTTTTGTGGATTGAGTGGAGTAACTTCTGCGTCGTTCCTGAATCGCAGAGGTATGTATGTAGCTGCTGTCAGTGCATGAATCCTGAGACAGTTTCCATGCTTAGAAGTGATAAAATCCCGTAAAAGAACATAGTAATATATTAATACCAATGGAAATTGCAACTTCAATCCACAAGTTACAAGGAATTTAACTGGAACACCTCTCTGTGCCATGGAAATCTTTAAGATGCCACAGAATAGCTTTTCAGCTCAATAGTCCTGTTAGTAAAACATCTGAAAGGTACTGTTTAATTTACAGTTACACCGTGTCTTTCATTTCACCCCATGAAGTTAACTTTTCTGTTTGCCTGCCGTGCTAGCAGGATCAAACAGGCTGCTTAATTTGTTCTGAAATCAGGTCTCAGAGAGCCTTCTTTGTACAGCAGCTCACAGAAAGCCGCCTCGCTGCTTTAGATTGTGCTGATAGAAGAAAGAAATTGTATAGTTAGTGTGTTTAACCCTGTGACCCGGACCTGATGCTTCGTGAATGTTAATCATGACAGCTAGGGAGCGTTTCTCCCTTACAGAAGATAATAGTGTGTTCTCACTGCTCTTAACTCCAGAAAAGAGACTAATGAAATAGAAACAGGTGCTTTCATAGAGGAAACTTGGTGTTTCAGGGTTTGGGGGGATTTGCAGGTGGCTGAGCGTAGCTCTGGCTTTCCCAAAGTGCTTTGGTTTCTTGATGCTATTTAATTAGTAAGGAGCCTATTTCAGCTATTGGTGTTCTCACAACAAAATACTGGGTTAGGGGGGAGATGCCAGTGGCTGGGGTCAGCGAGGGAACTGAGCAGAAATGCAGTGTGCACCTGTGTCACAAAAGGAGAAAAGCGTCGTCTGCTCCGAGTCCTAGTCTGCCATTTGTTCTAATCCATCATGCCCAGGAAAGTCTGATTCCAATCTTTGGAGAGTCCTTGTGATAAAAGGAGACAGTGGCACACACTTAACAGTGCCCTAGCACTCTTTGGTGTCATCCTATACTGTGGGAAAGTCGTTGTAAATGCCGGCCGGAGAGCTTTCCTTGCAAGAGAGTGCTTTCTAGATTGAATTAACACTCCAGTATATTTTCCAGCATACACTTCAGCATCCCTAGAGAACATAGGATGAGTTGCTTTAAGTGTTCTCAGTTAAAAGTTTCCACTTATGTGATGAGATGGAAGAGAAAAATAGCAGCTAAGCAGAGATCTTCTAGGAAGGGAGCCACTGCAGAGCCCTGCTGCCTTGTGAATGCAGCAGGGTTTATTTCCCTTGAGGTATCTGTTGGCAGAGATCCCAAGTCTCTCCAATGGGCTGCAGTTCAAAGCCTAGTGAAGTCAACACAGAAAATTCCATATTCCTCAGTAGGCCTTGCATCGGGCACTTGGAGGGATGAAAAAACCTGTTTTCATTCCCAAAGTCTGGAAAACATTTTGAAGTCAGAGCGCTGCACAAGATCTGAAGAAGAAAAATGATCTCAACGGTCTGGTCACTGGAAGTGTATGGATGTGGTCCATGTGACTGCGCAGATGTATGTTGAGTACATGTGTTATCTGTTGTGTCATTTGCTTCAAGCTCTGCTCTGACATTTATTTTAATCTTTTTCCCCAAGACTTATTCTAGCCTTAAAAACAAACCATTCCACAACTTCATCTTGGGGCTATTATTTCTACAAATCAGTTTTCCAAAGATATCTCTGTCATCGCTTCTCAGCTTATTTACCCGAGCCCGCAACAGCGTATAGCAAGCACGAGGAGAAGGCAACATTCAGACCTGGATCAGGAATGATATTTCTCATTCTTCATGCTTAAAAACATTGTTGGTTATCTGGGAGTTAGACACTGTATGTCAGTAAGGGAGAATGTACCAAGTTTCACCTTTTGTCCAATGTTACCTTTCAATCTTGAAAAGCTGTAAAACACCTCTCTATAAAATGCTGATATTTTATGATGAAGATTTTTTTTCAGATAACTTTGACTTGTTTTTAGATGAAGAATATTGTTTCTTTAGTTCACTGTTCTAATATTGCGTATTGTTTTCTTCCTTTGGAACCTTGCACAGATGCAATTCTAGACCCAGATTTTCAGCAATGACTTGTTTTTGGATGGTGCCTAAGAATTTGAATGTCCCATACAGGATGGTGAAGACCAGCCTGGTTTTTAGAAAATACCGAATTCCTTCATGATTGCATAAGAAATTTCAGATTGGAACTGCAGGAGCCACATTCTCTCTACTTTTAAATTAGGGCATTTCTTAATTAAGGTAAGGTATAGGATATAGGGATAGTCTTCATAGGAGTTTTGAGAGTCCTCTCAAAAATGTGTGGAATAGAATGATGTTACGAAGTGGGATAATGGACTGTATGAGCAACAGTTTGCCTGAACTGCCCAAATCTTTGTGGCCTTTGCGTCTGAAGAGATGCAGATGAAATCTGTGTGCCATGTCACCATGTGCTGTCTAGCCCTCCGTAACCCTTGCAGCTACACGCGCACCCCTGTGTGTGTGCACTTGAGTAGTTTGTCAGATTGCGAGAAACTAGAGGAGTGATTTTTGTTGAGCAAGTGAGAAGAATGGGAAAGATGGAAATTCAGTGACGTTCCGATGGGATATTGCATTGCTGACTGTTATGCCAGAGCTGTCGGGGAGGAAAGAAGAACAAAAGTGTGACGTGTAAAAGTATGAAATGTGTATGAGCTGACTCCCAAGATTGCTAGTGAGTCATAGAAGGTACAGATTGGTTCATGGCTTGGGAATGTACTGAGGAGACGAGAAGTGAGCCCAGGGCCTGAGCTCTCTCAGAAGGTTTTCTGGCAAGGCTGCAAAGCGGAGCACAAGTCCAGTGTGTGAAGAGAGGAGCACGCGTGCCTGGGCCTTTGCGGACCAGAAGGGACCACAGGTATCTTTAGATCTCTGCTTTTGATAGTCCTTACTGACATCACGCTCTTGAGGAACATTTTTTCTATGAGTGCAGCCTGAGGTGGATCTCAGAAGATGAGGAGGGAGAAGAAGGCAGAGCTCGATATCTTAGTCAGGTTCCCCTTTCTGTGCCGGTGATATTCAAGGAAATGCAAACAGGGGCAAATGTTTCCCTGCTCTTCCTGTGCTGCAGCAAGGAAGCAGAGCTAAGCAGAACAAATCAATCCTGTGTCTTTTGTTTAGCAGGCTGATTTTTGACTTACCCGGACGCTCCAGTTTCCTCTCAGGGAGACACATTCTCCTCTTTGCATTTTGGCAAGTTTTCTTTTTGTAGTTCGAAATTGCTTTTTTTCCATTTTTTCCCTATGAATTTTGTTGGTTTATGTGTGCAACCAGTAGGTGCGAGCTTTCTTTCCAGCCCAAATAGGTACACGCTGGCAAAGCGCTTGGTTCTTCCCTGAAACGTGTCGAAGTGGAGCTTTTGGCTTCCTTGGCTTTCCTTTCCCACTTCCCTGGCAGCGCAGCTCCGGGAGTGCGTGTTCATCTGATGACCCTGCGTACCCCCCTTGTCTTTGTCTGCTTGCGATACCAGGACTTCCATGCGGAAGCATCCGAGGGGGCCAGCTGTTCACAAAGCTGTGCCTTGCGTGGCTGATAAAATGCAGAGTCTGTATGGGTGAGATTATGCATTTTCCTGTCAGAAGAGGGCTTTAGCCTAAGGCGACTCAGGGCACTGAGCATTGAGATATTTTTAAACCCAGCAATAACTTCTACTTTGCTAAACTGTATTGGTTTTTACCAACTCCAGTGCCATTTAGACTCAGCTGATGATATTGAGTAGAATTAAGCTTGAGCTTGGAACTTAACAACAATTAACATTTTTCATAACTGATGGTCTCTACTTTTTAACTTGCAGATGTGCCAAGTTCCACTGGGCAGTGCTGGACACAGTGTTTTTATTGATTATTGGTCCAGGCTTGAGTTTGTCCAAAGGGGTAATCCTCTCTAACAGTCAAGTACTTTTAGCTTTCTCTTGGATACAGATGTTACGTCGTAACCTAATTTATACAATGAGCACATTAGAATGTATATACTAGGCATTGCCAGATTTGGACATGCTAATATTTAAAGATTAACATTATTAAAATGTATGATGCAAAAAAAAAAAAATCTGTGTAATATTTCTAATAAAACTTTTTCTGTTTCTGATGTTTGTTGCAATATTTCAAATATCCACATGCAGAACTGATTCTTCCTCGGTCTGCTCAGCAAGATTTCCAGGAGAGATTTAGAAAGATCTTCATGGTTCATGACTGCAGTTCTGGTAGCACAGAAAATCTCTTCAGAAAGATTCCAACTTCCATTTTTTAAGCAAGTTAGAAAATTGTTGTGGGGATAAAAGAGCTCAGGAGACCTGTCAGTTCCTGAGATAGACCGTACTGTAGGCACAGTAGGAAATCATCTCGGTGCAGAGGTGAGGGAGAAACACCCGAAGGAGCCACACCTGCATTAGGAGCTCTGAAATGACTAGAAGGTTCAAGAAAGAAGAAACTGGAAACAAAGACTCGTGACTGGAGTGAATATAGAATTATGTCACCAGTAAGGTAAGAGGCAAAACAGCTTTGTAGTGATAAGATACTATACATAATACGAAGGATGAGCACAGTGTAGTGCCAGCCAGACATTTCTCTGAACTTCCATGAAAGAAGAACTATAAGAGACTGACTATCCAATGCATCTAGAGCTTGCAGCGATCCTGAGCTCTGGTTCATTGGGAACATATGTGAAGATGTGCCTATGAACCTATGTTATTCATCATTCATTTGGGAAACACATACACCTAACTGAGACTTCTTTTTATTATTATTATTTCATGATGGCAGTGGCAGTGCAGAACTATCCACATTGCTGAATCAGCCAAGAGAATGAGAAAAGAAGTGTTTGAGCATCTAAATTTCTTCCAGCATCTCAGGTACATTTTGGTCCAGCTGTACAGGGGAAACCATATGGGAAAAAAAGTTCTCCTTTGCATAATCCAAACTACTTTGCCTTTCCTCACCAATGTATCATGTTTCAACCTCGATTTTCATGCTGGTTTGATCCTTCCTGGTGGCAATGTCACAGGTAAAGCTCTGTTGCTTTGGTGGCAGTGTCACAGGGAAAGCAATGTTGCTTTGATGATTTTTACTAATTTGGGCAGCTTTATCTCCTGGACACAATACGAGCACATGAAAATGGCAAATTAGAATTTCTTACTTTTTTCAACCTGCCACTTTATTTTGAAGGCTTGTTGCAGCTCCCTTGGAAAGCACTAGCCTCAATATTTGCACCTCAGTCACCTTCTGCAAATTCTCAGAACCAACCCTGTTTAGCTATCTAGAAATCTCATTATCGCCGGGAAAACAGGCTGGTATTGTGCTTGCAGTGTAGAGAAAAGCACTCTGAACACTTAGACTTATTATCTGTGTGACCTTGGACTAAGGTAGTTCATGTCCATCTACCTAAATTCCTAGTATTTTATTGACCTGTTTTCCCTATCTTTTTGACTGTCCTTGTGTTTTTGATTTAGCTAGAAACCCTTTGGAGTAATGCTTGTATTTGCCAGAAGTTCATGCGGCCTGATAATGTCAATATGCAGTATTACCATACAACTAATTAATAATCAGGCTGGATTGGTTTTGAATCATAGATGAGTCCTCAAGGGATGAAACCAGAAGCCCTGCTCAGGCAAACTGTGACATAGCTGGACTCTGCGACTGGATGCAAGTATTCGTCGTGCAAGGAAAACTTCTAATACAAGATGAGCTGGTGGCAGCTTGGCATTCAAAGCCTTGCTCCTCTGACTACTGCTTTTCTGCATTCATGTATCCCAGACAGATCTTGTCTGGGATATAAAGCTGGTCATCTCTGTCTCAGGTTAGAGGAACTGCAGTAAGGGAGGATTTTGTTGGGTTTTTTTTTTTTTTTTGGCTGTTGTTGTTTTATAAATAAGTTAGAGATGCTTGTAGGATGCTTTCCATAATGTCTGATTTTGCTGGATATTTTGTTATGAGGATAGACTCTTGATTCCTGTGATATGGAAAGACAGAAATCCTTTCTACCTTACAGACCAGTGAGCAAAACTTGCAACCACACAA